CGGCCGGGGGCGCGCAGGCCCTCCGGTGGCCCGTGGACGTTTGACCGTCGAGGGGCTGTGCTGCAGCCTGCGAGTGAGCGGGGACCTGGCAGCAGTAAAGATAACACGGTGGATCTGGAATCGTCAGCGGCAGGCAGGGCGGTTGGAGAAGAAGTGATGCACGCTTCAAGCAGATGAACTTGCCTGGTCTGTGACTGGACGTCAGGTGACACTGTAGTTTGAAGGTGGTCACGAACCACTTGGTTGCTGGAGGTATTTTCCCTATGTCTTCGAGAGTACTTCTTTTACTGTTGGCCTTGAATGGGCAGGATTGGTGGCAGCTGCTGGTACAGGAGGATTCAGATGATAATCTGCTAGATCTAACCACTAGATCATTAAATCTAGCAAGCATTGAGTGGGGATTCTGTGGGAGGTAAGACAAGTCTCTACTCAGTCCCTACTGCATGAGCAGGGGTTAAGTAAGCCAGCAAGCATCTCGTCTGTGTGGCCTGTCTGGACATGGGCTATTTTCATAGCTGCATTAGGAACATACATAGGGTGACATGCAGTTCTCTACCCAGCCACCTCTTTGAGAATATATAAGAAATCTCCTGCCCTGAAAGTTCAGACTCACGCTTCCCAGCAGCAGTGGCCATTTACGAAGTCATATGTTTTACAATAGCCATGTCTTCTGAGCCAGCTGTTTGAAAGGATGCTTTCTCTTCCAGCTCTCGCAGAGGGTCACACATACGAAATAAACAACTGTTCTTTTTTCTACTCAGGTGTACGACTTCTTTTGCATGGTCTTTGCTCCAACACCACAGTCAAATCTTTGGATTTGAAGGTGAGTCTGTCTGAATAAAATCGAGACAAAGAGGTGGGGAAGGAAACAGGAGCACAAGCTTAATCAGAGGTAGAAATAGACAGTACTGGTGCAGGATTGCTTTACAAGATGTGTAGTTCTGTAAAGTTCTTGTTCTCAAATGACTCAGTCCTTGCCTCCTTAACATCGTGTCACGACTTCCCAAAGTTACTTTGCAGCTCATCTTTGCCCATTTTTATTCAGTTATTTTGTTTTGACAGGAAGTTGTTGCTGTATATCTTTTGTCAGTTGTTGCTTGGTCAGATGAGGCATAGGTAGGCTTTTCTGTATTAATCAGTGAGTTGCTAGTTGTTTGACTCGTGCTTCTGTAGATTTTATGCAGCTTGCCAGTGTCTTTCAGCTAGCCTGGGGCTTGGAATTAAGCATGCATTTTCAGATGGGATGATGATTGCTCTACTGTGAGAGTGACTTTCTGTCTGTATTCCTCTGGCACATAGCTGTTCCCTTGAATCTACAGTCCTAGACTGCATCACACCTTTCTTTCTCCTCTGTGCTAGTGCTAGCCCATTTTAATGAAGTGTGTTGAAATGATTCTGCTTATCTAGAACCTGCATTTTCCATCCCATCGTGGGCTAAGCTGATCCTGTGACTTTTGTGAGCTCTCAGTCATGATGCCTCGCAATACCAGCACTGTGTTTATCCATCGTTTCTCCTAGGGTCTTTAATTTCTTTCATCAGAAAGCTGACTGATATGTGAAACAAATGTTACTCAGACCATCTTTGACAGACTGAAATCAGCATTACAGCTGGGGTGCATTTGGTGGTGTTTGATGCTATAGCTGGACTGGGACAGGGCATAGCCCACTGATCACCTGGGACTTTTGTTTCAGGGAAATAACCTGCGAACCGTGGGAGCTGAGGCTTTGGGAAAACTTCTTAGGCAGAACAAATCAATCCAGAGGTAAAGAATTGTATCTACCCCTCTTTCTGTTATTCCTGCCGGATGGAGCACAATATTAGAAAAGGATTGAGGATGTTTTTTTCGTTAGGGTAGGAAGAATGTCAAATGGCACAATTTCTTATGCGGGGTGGGGCAGGTAAAGTAGTGAGCACTGGAGGTGCCCTTTCAGAGAATGCAGGGCCCTAGCAGTATCCTGCATTCTGAAACTGAGTCTCTATTAGCGGAGATGAGTGTTCGAATGGGTACCATCATCCAGGTATCATTCAAGCTCTTGCAACTGTCCATTTACTCCATGAACTCCAATGCTGTCTGATTTTTCCCTAGCCTAATCTTGGAATGGAACAGCCTTGGGGTGTGGGAGGAGGGCTTCTCCTTTTTCTGCCAAGGACTGGGAGCAAACAACTTTCTCCAGCGGCTAGATCTGCGCAATAACCAGATTAACCATCAAGGGGCCGGAGAGCTGGCTGTGGCACTGGAACAAAATGCCAGCCTTCAGGAGCTGGGTAAGAGTGACTAGTTCTTTGCCCACCTACGTACATGAACGCACACACACATCTATCTTCAGGTTCGTTGCAGCCTGCCCTGATCTCTGCCAACTGGTCAGTGTCATTCCCAATTCCTATCAGTCTGCAGTGCTTTGCAGGCTTTGCGCAGAGAGTAGAGGTCACAGCCCCATGGCCTTTGGCGAGTGGGAACTGCAATTGGAATCTCTGGAACCAAGCCTGCAGATGAAGATTATGGGCTTGGAGCAGAACAGTTCTTAGTGGAGGAGGGGATGGATTCATTCCCATTTGTGGATACTCTTGGCATGCCTCATGCTAGACTCTGAGACTTACTTCACACTTGCTTTGTCCGTAGTAAGGAAATTTGCCAGAATTTCCTTCAGGAAAACATGGCTCTTGGTGCTGGTTGTTTCTCATCCACAGGTTGTGGTTGTGGAAGGAAGGCCATGAGATGAAAATGTGAGGGGCAGACTTATCTACCTTTTGAACTGTAATGGTTTACTGTACTTAAGATTCATCCTTGCCTATCCTGCTTTGTCCGTCATTTTCCTTCCCTCTCATTCATCTTGAAAAAGGAGACTGTATTCACCTGTGTGTGTGCTGAGACCATCTAAGATTAGTTAGTCATGCTTGTAGATGTATAAGGAGCGTGGTTTCTCTGAGCTTTGTGTTTTTCAGCAGATGTGTGACTACCAGGGTGAAAGTTTGCTTTCTGTATAGATTTGCGTTGGAATAATATTGGGCTTCTGGGTGGCCGAGCTTTGCTGAACTGCCTGCACAGCAACAAGACCCTGAAGAGGCTGGAGCTGGCTGGGAATAACGTTCCTAGTGACATCCTGAAAGCTGTGCGTAAGTATTACTTGTTGCACGGGAAAGAATCAGTAACTCCTTTCATGTTTCAGCACTTGATGGATATAGGGCACTTGCTGCTCCAGAAGAGAGCTAATCCCTCCTCCCCTCCCTTTCTCAACAGCATTTACACTGTGCCCTACATCGTTTCTTCTTGTCCTTTTATGAGGGCTAGTCAGGTAGGAGGTGTCACTTTTACCAGTAAGAGGAAAAAGATAATTTGGATAGAATTAAAGGTTACTGTGCTGTGTGAATATGGGAGAACTTGAGACTCTACTTTGTCTCTGAGTAGCCAAGTTTGGATATGGCTAATGAAGCCATAGGACAATGTCCTTTGTCATTGTCCTACCCACAGTGGAGTTGAATGGCTCTCCTGTGGCTGGGGTGTTGATTACTCCATATACACTGCTTTCTCTGATTCTCCTGCACCTTGTGTCTGTAAGGTGAGAGCGGTCTCTCTGTGTGGGCCAGCCTGAGAAGGGCTACTGTCCTTGTGCTTCTGATAGCCAGGTGTCATCCCAAGTGCTATCTCTTCCAGCAGTGCTTGCTGTTCTGTTGCTTTAGAAACATGTGCATGCTCTCCTGCTCTCTCTGCATCAGAACAAGCCATGGATCACAACCAAGACCGTCAGACTATGCTAAGTGAGACCCAGAACAAAACGTACATACTCAGCAAGGAGGTTTTGAGTCTGAAGGAGGAGAAGACCAAGCAGGTCAGCAATCTTACATGTTGGCAATTCAAATGGGGTGGCTGGAATCCTGTGCGTTCCCATTATGTCCCCATGAAACATGCAGTGATGGGATTGTGGACCTGAACTTGCATATGCATCTTTATGGGTGGGTACACAGCATGATTTAGTAAATTGGGTCCTTCCTCTGAGCTAGGTTGCCCAGGAATCAAATCCATGACAGTATGTGTATGGATTGCTGAACATAGTCGCTCTGGATTCTGGAGGAGTTTTGGTGATTTTTTTCTACCTGTATTTGTAGGTAGAATTTTGCAACTGGTTTGATATTTTCCAAGTGATGAAAACCTAGAAATGAGAGTCTTTTCCTTCTGACACCTAATAGTACAGGGTCCCTGTAGTTGGTGATCTCGGTCAGATGTGCTAATGAACCCGTCAAACTTCCAGTTTGCTTGCTTTCAATAGAGTGGCTTGACCTGTCTTCAGCTGTCACTAGGAAGAGAAAGATGAGAAGTGTAAATGCTTCAAGCTGATGCAGTTCATTTTCTCACTGATGTTTGCCTTGTTCACAGTTCTTGGATTTGATGGACACTATAGACAAGCAGAGAGAAGAAATAGCCAGGAGTGGCAGGTGAGTTGAAGTTCTGAGTGCTTTCTGCTCTTTGATATAAATTGTGCCCTCTCCAAGTGAAAACTTGCCCCCCCCCCCCCTTTTTTTTTTTCTTTTTTTACTTTCTTTTCTTTTTCCCCCAAATGCAGGGTGTCTGCAGCACGAGTCAGCCAGCTGCAGGAAGCACTGGATGAGCAGCACTCTATTATGAATTCACTGAAAGCCAAGTATGGAGGAGGAAAACTTTAACCTTCCCACTGTTCTATGCTGTATAGGCAGTGCTGAGCAGAGCTGTTAAGCCAAGGGGATAATCTTGTAGAGTGGCTGGATTACTATTTCCCTTAGTTCTGCAGTGATATCTAGAAATTGTGGTCAGATCAGGCCTTTGGGTTTGCCCTGCTAGATATTTAGTCTGCTTTTAAGTAAGATTACAGTGCATTGGTGTAAGAGCAAGTGAATTACAGAGGGTGAAAAAGAAAAAAATGGATTGTGGGGATGGGATGGGGGCATGTTCCTTGCACAGTTTACACCCTGGCAAGAGTCTTTATCTGCTTTCCCTGGCAGTTGGTGGTATCCTCTGAGAAACTGCAGATGTGGAGGAACCTGACCAGAAAGATCATATGCTTAGGATCAATGTGGTGGAGCTGCCCAAAAGCAGTGTTAAATTATGTAGAGCCATATGCACATGGCAGTGGTTAGATTTCAAACACTGATGAGTCTGTCTCGTTCAGTTCTGTCAGGTAAAGGTAGTTTCATTATACCATGCCTCAGTGTGGACGTGTCCCTCATGTACAGAGTAAGCACATAGCTTCTGTTACCTGTGTTTAAAATTCTATTCCTACTTTTAAACAACCTTGCAGTGGTATAAAATAGCCAGTTTTGTTCTCCTCTGAGAGTGGGCAAATCCTGGAGGGGTCCAGGCAGGGAAAACAGCTCATGGAAGACAACGCAGGGAAAATGCAATGGGGCAGCAGAACACTAGGCTCTGAGAAGTCCCAATCACTACACCCAGCAGTCTCTGCAAACAGTGAGAGATAAGCAGTGTCCTTTTCTCAGGGGAAAAAAAATGCCTCATTATCTAGTCTGATTTCATCCACTGCCAGATATGTGTTAACATCTTTTACCATGTGGCGTAGAGAGGTCACTGAAAGTGTCTCCCTTAGACAGGACTCTGGAAAGTGTTTCTCTGTATAGGCTGCAGATGACTGAAGCTGCCCTGGCTCTGTCTGAGCAGAAGGTGCACAACTTGGGAGAGCTACTGAATGCCATAAAACAAGAACAAACCAGCATGGCTGAGTGCCACTTTACGAAGCTCCAGCAGCAAAAGCAGGTGGGCTCTATAAGTCCTTGTTGGGTCTGAGAGCAGGATTCCAGGTCATACATGGTTTGTGTAGATTTGGGGGATGCTGGATAGGATAGACAAGCATGATTTTTACCACTAGTGGGTTAACCACAGCTGTCATGACAAAAATTGTGTAAATCAGATAGGTAAGTTCTAGGTGTGGTGAGGAGCCATGCTGTTTATGGGGTAGGTTAGATTTAGTTGAGTGCGACGTTGGTTGGAGTAGGTTGGCAGTCAAGAACTAAGATGAGTACAGGTTCTTTATTTTGATTCTGTTTGCAGGAAGGTGCTGATCGGGAGGGCAAACTTTTGCGTGACTTGTCTGCTGCCAGTGAGAAAAATCTGCTTCTAAGAAACCAGGTAGGGAAGCAAGTCCAAGGCTGAGAAGGGGGACTTGAACATTGTTCACTTCTGCTCTGTGTATATGTCCTCTGCTTTGATCCTTGTGTCTCTGCTGATTGTTCTGTACAGCCAACTTCTTCTGCTAATAGGAAAAGAAAATAATTTGTGGTGGTAAATTCTTTGTAGGTAGATGCATTGGAAAAGAAATGCAAAGTTCAGCAGGATCAGCTATTCCAGGTAAAACAAGACTTGGCCAACAGAGCAGCAGAGCTGAAGCTGCAGGCTGTGCAGGCTGAGGGTGAGTCAAGGAGCAGGAACAGCTCATGGACACCTATGGGTTGGGATTACTGTCCATGTCAATGGTGCAAGGCAGCCAAGGAGAAAAGGTGGAAGAGTTTGTGACAGAGTGTAAATATAGCCTGCGTAGCCGGAATACCATAATTCTGATATGCTTGCTTTTAACCTGCAGAACGCCTCGAAATGGAGAAGAGAAGATTTAAACAAAGCCTTGAAGACATGGAATCCCTTCGAGTAAAAGAGGTAAGAGTGGAGTTTCTGCAGCATCCTGAGGTTAGTGTCTCTTTGGTCCTGACATACAGATGCCACTGGAGGTCATTGTTTGCTGTCAGCTGCTCTTAAACAAGACTCAGTGTGGGTATAATAGGCCATGTCTACAAGCAAAGCCTAGCTGAAGAGATCACAAGACATTCTACCAGCCAGTAAGATTTTGTAGTTTGCAAGAGTATGGGCCAGAGTGGTATGTGATTCCACAGAAGAGGCTTGGAGGCTGGACCTTGTGTCAGTCTTGCTGTGCATAGAGGTAATTATGAATAAGCAGTCTTGTCATGCTCACTGAAATAAAGATGAGTTAATGGAAGAAATTGAGACATACATGCTATATACAACCAATCCTTTAATGGGGCTCAGCTCGCTAGTTCCTTCTCTGTTATGTTTCAGGGGGATTCTGTCTGAGTGTGGACAGGACAAGAGGCTGTGATCAACTCTCTTTGGAGTGTTTACTGAGGTGTGAAATCTCTCAAAAATAAAATTATATTAATAGATTTCTCTTAAGATTTTGAAATCTTGTAAGAAAAGACAGGCCAGGAAGATTTTAGCCCCATTACAACTAGAAAATGAATCTCTGGTGTTTTGTACCACTTGAAGATGAGAGCTTGGACTCTCTCTCTTTCATCTTGGCCTGGAAGGGATCTCTGTCTAAAGTTTCCAGTTTGTAGAGGGCAGATTCTATCTATGTTACAGTTTGCTAGTGGAGCTCTGGGGTAGGTAAGTGTTTTTCTTTGGTGGTAGGTGGGTCAATGAGAGGATGCTCTTTCTCATGCTGAACGGACATGCTGCTGTGCCTGGAGGTAGGAGTGGTTTTCTGGCACTTGCTTAAATGGTTTCTACTGCTTTGCAGGTGAATCATATGACACAGCACATTGAGGCCAGTGAACGTTCCATGCAGGACAGGATCCAGAGGCTAGAGGCCATCAGGACAGCTCTGGAGGAGGTGAGAATGGATGCTGTAGGCGCATTAGAATGCTCAGGGAGTGGTGGCAGGAGAAGGCTACCAGGGGAGCTTTGTGGAGTCTTCCTTTGCTGACATATATAAAGATTGTCATGTGCTGTAGGGAGGAACAGAAAACAGCAGTTTATCAGCTAAAATTGTTTTTACTGCTTTGGACTAAGGAAGGAGAAGGTTCCAAGGAGAAATTTGTAGATTCTGATTGAACAAAAATAAGGTTTCCATTGAACATGGTTAAATTCTTACCAGGATTTGACTTCACAAGTTTCCCACGTGATCCCAAGTAGTGTAGCATATTTCTCCTTATCTGTTCTCTCAGATAGATCCAGTGCTGCCCTCTCCTATTCCCCTGTCTTTCGAAAGTTTCACCCATTACTTGGCCTCATATAACTGAAATTCTTATTGAATTTAGATGGCAATCTCAGGGTGAGAAAAGGTATGTAATCTGGGTTTGTTTTCCCTGCCCCTGAGTGAGAGAGCGCGCTGTAGCCTGCAACTGGAAGCTGCTGATGTTTTCTGGTCAGTGTTGCAGTGATGCAGCTTCTCTATCTGGAATGATCTTTCATGTTTCTGTGGCAGGAGCTGAGCCAAGTCAAAGCAGCTGCTCTCACTGAGCGAGGCCAGGCAGAGGAGGAATTAATAAAAGCCCGGAATCAGGCACGGTTGGAGGTGGTAAGGACAAGACCTGTCTGTGAGCCCTGCCTCTGTGGGAAGGAGTGGGTTTGGCTGCCTAGCCTACGTTTTTGTCTCTAAGCGTGGAATCACTTAGTAACTTCCCGCTCTGGATTTCACTGGCCTGCAAATAGCATGATTTCTGAGGACGGAGTCCTTAAAAGTCTGCTCTGAATTGTCTCCAGAATGTAACCACTATTCCCACCTGCTCTGTGCTTTCCAGTAGTAACAGAATTGATGTGGATACTGTCATAGCAGATTTCACGCTAACAGCCAGATGTCAATCCTTCTGTTTAACAGCAGCTTTCATGGACTGCCTCTGTTTCTCTGGACTCAGAGGAATTTCTGCAGGTAGCTACTGCTGCTGGATTAAAAAAAGTCATTGTAGAATTGAACATTGTGAAAATTGCAATGAAGTCAACACCCTGTGAAAGAGAACAAGGGATGAGGAAAACACACCAAAACTATTAGAATGTTCACTTACATGTAACATCACAAAAGAAAATGCTTTACTGAGTTATAAACATATAAAAGCTGCCATGTGTGTTTGTTGTGGGACACAACAGTTGCTTAGGTGCATACAGCAGTGTTTCAGAGCTATTTGGGATATGGAGGAAGTGAAGATAGAGCATTAGTTGTAAACACCAGTGGTGGCATTGGTGCTTCTACCAAGGACATGCCGCTCTTTCTCAGTGAGTGAGCTGGGCTTTGCAGCATCTCCATCAGAATGTTCTCCCTGGCAACTGAAAGCAGCTTAGATTCACTCCTGAATGCAAGGGAGAAGTGCCATATCTATTATGGCTAAGTCCTGTGCTTGTTCTTCAGTGCCAATTGACTCAACCAAGGGTTCACTCTGGGAACAAAAAGGGGAGAATCCCTTTGCAGGAATGGAATGGGACTGATGTGTTTTCATTTTCCTCTGTGTCTTACAGCAGCAACGACTAGAACACCTAGAAGAGAAGCTGCGGCTGATGACTGAGTCACGGGATGAAGCTCAAAACTGCTGCCTTAAGCAAAAACAAATGGTTGCAGAGGCCCAAGCCAAAGCCAATCAGTTAAGCATGCATGCTGATGGACTCAGAAGGCGGCTAGAGGAACTTCAGCAGGTAATTTGGACTGGAATAGAGATATGGTCACCACAGGGGCAGAACAAGTTGGTGAAGTTCTTTGGTTATTCATGGATTTTTCATTATGTATCAGGACCTGAACAGTAAGGAAGAGGAGAAAGTGACAGAAGTGAATAAAGTGAAAGTGGAATTACAGGAGCAGATTGGACACCTGCAGGCTGAACGCACAGCACAGGATGGGCTGAGAGAGAAGATTGCAGCCCTGGAGAGACAGCTGAAAGGTGATGGATCCTTTTGTGCTTCTCAAATGGTAATGCTGAGATAGAATCATAGAGTAGTTTGGGTCGGAAGGGACCTTTAAAGATCATCTAGTCCAACCCCCCTGCAATGACCAGGGATGTCTTCAACTAGATCGGGTTGCTCAGAACCCTGTCCAACCTGACCTTGAATCTTTCCAGGGATGGGCCATCTACCACCTGTCTGGGCAACCTGTGCCAGTGTTTCACCACTCTCATTGTGAAAAATTTCATCCTTATATCTAGTCTAAATGCACCCTCTTTTAGTTTAAAACCGTTACCCCTTGTCCTATTGCAACAGGCCCTGCTAAAAAGTCTGTCCTCATCTTTCTTATAAACCCCCTTTAAGTACTGAAAGGCCACAATAAGGTCTCCCCGGAGCCTTTTCTTCTCCAGGCTGAACAAGCTGAGCTCTCTCAGCCTTTCCTTATAGGACAGGTGCCCCATCCCTCTGATCATTTTTGTGGCCTCCTCTGGACTCTCTCCAACAGGTCCATGTCTTTCCTGTGCTGAGGGCTCCAGAGCTGGATGCAGTATTCCAGGTGGGGTCTCATCAGAGTGGAGTAGAGGGGCAGAATCACCTCCCTCAACCTGCTGGCCACGCTGCTTTTGATGCGACCCAGGATACAATTGGCCTTCTGGGCTGCGAGTGCACATTGCCAGCTCATGTCCAGCTTTTCATCCACTATAGTTACCCTACAGTGGGCCTGGAACAGAGCTACACTTACAGGTAGTGATAATGGTGCTTCCTGCCTGTGTGTACAACTATGAATTGTACCCACCATCCTGATGTATTTGCAGGGATTCTTGTCCTCATTTTATAGTGACCAAGGTTCAGATAACTACCCAGACCTGCACAGCAAGCAAAATGTTTTTATTTCCTGCACAGTGAAGCGTAACATCTTGTCTGTGCAAAACCTCTCACATTGTCTCATGGAGCTTCTGTCATGTGCCTGTTGATGATCCTGCTTCCGTTGCCTTTGGCTGTGCCTATAACATATTGTTCCTGTTTATTCTAGAGACACCCTGATTTTCTTTAATAATGCTGCTCTTCTTTCACAGCCTTATCAAGTAATCACCGCGAGGCACTGCTGGACAAAGAAGGTGAAATCTCTATGCTGCTGGAAAAGCTGAGAATGAAAGAGGCTGACATCTCCAGGATGAGAGAAGAAGAGGCCCAGCGAGCAAGTTTCTTGCAGAATGCCATCATAGCATATGTGCAGGGCTCCCCCTTGGGAACCCACAGTTCTAGGAAATGAGAGTGTGGCTTAAAGAATCCAGGTACCTGCTGTCAGGAAGAGGGAAGAGGGTGAGCAACTCGGGTACAGCCCCTTCTTTCTAAGTGGGACAGTTTTGTCATAGTGGGTTGACGCGAAGGCTTGCAAACACAGAAGATTGCTCTTCAGAAATCTTGCTTCCAACTGCATAAACGAGAGCAGGAAACAACCATCCAGGGCTGGGATAGAGGGTTGTGGGTCTGAGTTCATGATGTGGAGCCCTTCCCCTGCACTGCTACAGCATTTGAAGTAGTTTCTGTGTCCTTTTCTACAGCACGAGTCTGTCGGTACACCCTGTTGTTACCAGGGAGTTGTACGTTCCCTGGGCAGTGGTCCTTCAGAAGCATTTGTTTGGATGCCTGGGCTGTTCACAGTGAAACCTGATAAATGATGGGCAGCAGTGTTTACGCCATTTACTTTGCTCATGGAGTCATGAAGCTGCTGGAAACACCAGATCTTTCCCACCTGTGCTTTTATACCCAGTGCTTAGAGATGGAAGCAGCAGCTGACAGGGCTCACTTTGGCTCTTTTACCTCTATTACCCTCCATGGCTCTGGCTGTAGTGATGGGCAGTAGATATGCATTCATTATATATAGAAACAGGTATGCAGAGGGAGACTGCTGTGCAGTGGCTATCCATATCTTTGTTGGACAGCTAGGCTTTGGGCATGGTTCAAGCCTCTACAGCACTGACTGGCATGGAAAGGGTGGCATGTCAGGAGTCAGCATATGTGCTTCCTCACTTGTGAACTGCCACCCTTGGCTGGAGTTTTTGTGGCCAAAATGCAACAGGATTTCATTCCACTATGACAAATGGCAAAACTGTCCTGCTAGCTTCTCAGGATCCTGGAGCTGAGTGCTGTTTTTTGGGTTCTTACCCTGGAGAGCAGTGATGCTTCTGACTCGCCACTGGGGAGTTGCTTCTCAGAGCATGCAGGCGAGAAGGTGCTTCCTTTTCCTGGCAACACAAGTCTTCATGTGGCATGGAGAAAGGAAAAGGATGTGAGGGTCTGAATCAGAGAAAGTGGAGGACAGCAGTATGTCAGGACAGCAGTGTGAGAGCCTCCTGTTAGTTTCTCCAGTGAGTCTGTGGTGAGAGAAATGGACTTGTGGTACATATTTTAAGAGGCAACTAGAAAAAAAAATGACTTTGTGCAGACGGGCTGGTTTATGTTCATGATTTTTTTTATATTGGGTTTTGCTCTGTTTTTTTAATAAAGAGCTTTTGCATTTTGCTGTAACACTGGGCAGTGACAAGCTGGATGTTTGGCTGATGTGGAGGGAGGGGCCTGCTGCTCTGTTAGTCTCATGAGGATTCTGCTAGTCTGTCCTGGACCTAAAAGGCTGTTACAGGTGGATAAGCTCAGTATGTCTACAGATTCTGGTTCTGAACTAAGGTAGAAGCAAAGAAGCTGGGAACCTGTGCCCCAGTCACAAGGAGCGGAGAGCGCCTATGTTGATAGCTAGATAGTTTGTGGATGCTGGGCAGCTCTGTAGAGCAGCAGGTAAGGGAAAAGCAAAGCCTGTTGTTTTGAGACAGTGCCACTACATGAGTTCTCTCTGTTCTTGGCAGAGTACTTGGAGAGGTGGAGGAACCCAAAAGTCATCTTTATTCAGGATTTTTGCTGCTGCATTTTTCTTCCTCAGCATCTTGGGGCAGATGACAGTGAAATCTGCAGCTACAATGCAACCACGTTTTAAAGCTTCTTCCTTGAGCAGGTGGCCATACGGTGTGGGCACTGTCCTCTGCAAGTTTCTGAGGAACGCCCATCGTGCTGTTTCAGGGGGCAGCGCGCAAGCACGC